AACTGCTGGTACATGATGAGACAAGTACTGTTAATTGCAGTGATGTGTAGGAGCCTTGCCATAGCCCAGGAGACACATGGTGCCAGGCCCTTCTCAGAGGGAGAAAAACAGTTGTCTGTTCCCAAGAGACCTAACCGTGATGCTTTTCTGCCCGAGAGGCTAGGTTTGACATAGTAAATCACCAAGGTAGGTTTACCTTGGCAGGATGTTCTTCCTGATGATGTGTTGCTTAGCCTGTACTAGCTAAAGTGGTCAGCCAGCCGTCAGCGTCGCTGACAAATGATAAAAATGTTGATGAAGTGCTGAAAAATCTGACATTCCAGTCCTCCTTAGCATCATTACAGAGCCAGAGAGCCAAGGTAGAGAAGTATTTCCAGGCCACTGCAGTGAGAGCAGAAGCCACTGCTTCTTACCGTCGCTTCCTTACCTTTGAAGATCTCCAAGCATGTGAAAGCTATGTTGCTCCTCCTTCCCTTCTGCAACTGGAACTTTGTGAAATTGATAAATAAGAGACATAATCTGTTTCATATGAGCCTTCCAGACCCTTGTCTTTCTCAGCTGAGAACCTGACACACCCCACCCCTCCTTGGCTGTAGTGACCAGATTCTTCAGGCAGTCTTTTTTGCTTATTCAAGATTATTTCTATTATGGATCAGATGGGGTGAGAGCCACAGTGATGCCTCCTGTGATGAAGTAGAGGCACAGAGGGATCTGTCTCCCGAGGGTGCTTGCCTGAGGTTTGAGAACACAGCCTGCCTTGTGCAGTAGGTCACCAGCCCACAGTTCCAGCCAGAATTAGTCGTCTGTGCAGAAGCACAGAGGGCTGTAGCCAAAGTGGTGTCTTTCCTTTGTTGTCCTACTTGGTACATATCCAGTACAACCAATTCCCATTTTGAAGTCCTTTCCCCCATCATGCTGGACCTAACTCTTCCTTCGGAAGAAAACAGAAGGAGCTGCTGCTCACTAAGCAAATCCAGCCACCAGGGCTTATGAATTCATATGTGAAGTCGCTCCCACTAGCCAGGAGGTGTTCTCACCCTTGCTGGAAGCTCAGCAGCATCTGATGTAGCATCCCTGCAGCACCCACCTCCTCTCTAAGGCTCCAAACGACCTGGATTCTGGGACATCAGCAGGGGTTGTGGTGCTCAGGACTCAACTGTAAAGCAGCCTAAAAACTGTCAGGCTCAGCCTGGCAGTTCATAGGTAGATCACTTCAGCAGCCGTGGGCTGGTATTACATATGTGTTTTTATCCTCTTTTCATCTTTTTGATGAAACTAGTATTTCTTAGCAATCAGCTATGAAGAGAGCCTGTACAATGGCATTTCTGTCCAGGTGTGTTTCTAGTCTCTAGGATGATAAAGTAATACTTTACCTTTGTTTCTAACACCATCCAGAAACTTAATGGTATAGGAAATTGGAACATTAATAATTTTTCTTTTGCCCTGGGTCCAGTGCAGATAAGAAAAGCGAATGGCATTGTGTAGATGGATTATATGGAACGACCTTTAATTTTATTTGGTTTGCAGTCTGGTAGCCAGAAGTGCCAGCTTGTTTCTCTTTGGGTAATTATTAGATGAATTTGCTTCTGTATAAATGGAGTTCCCAGGTCTGCTATGCCCTGAAACCTTTTCCTCTCAGAGCAGCAGCCTCTGGGTGACGGAAAAATCTGCCTTAGTTAAGGAGATCTGAGCAGCTCCATGCTTCTGCCTCTGTCCTTACGCAGCTCAGTGCTGGGCGTTCTGGGGTGATAGAGCCTCTGCTTGGCTCTCCATATATTTTCCCCACCTTTTGCTCATCTTAATGAAACACTCTTGTTCCATTGATGGAGGGCATCCGGCAGTGAAAACCCGAATCCTGGCCCTAGCACACGGCCTTGTTTTCAAACGAGGGCAGACCACGTGGGAATCGTAGTGTGAGAGCGGTGTGCCAGCGTAACCCTCATTTCACTGTCACGTCTTTTCAGTAATGCTGAGGAAGTCCTTGTGTGGTTAATGAGTGTGATATGCAGAATTCGGAGAAAAATAAAAGAAGCATGCTGTCACCTCATGACTTACTGACCTCTTTCTGAAAACCAACCAGCCAAAAGACAGCAAGCCAACAAGTAAAGCAACGGCAGTACAGCTCCTGATGGCTGAAGCCCTTTGCAGAATGTTTGCAGAAATATTTGCAGGTATAACCTTTTCCTATGTCTGTTCATAGGCATGGAGGAGAGTCTCAGGGCAAGCAGAATTAACCCATCCTTATCAATATCTCCCTGCCAATGCACACCCGTGGCACCCGGCGTGCACAGCTCATCACCTGAGCCTGTCAGGCCCCTCCATTTCTTTACATGCTCCCTCTCCCACTCCAGTGCAGGGTGGGATTACTCACTTACTGACCTGCAGTACTTACATGTGGGTACAGGAGTCTTTTCTGTGCTCTAAAGCATGAGTAATGATGGAGAAAATGAATACCAAGAGAAGTTCCTCAGGATGCCAATCGTGCCATGTAGGAATACCCCCCTTCCTGAGATGCAGGCTTAGCCTTCTAGTGCGGAGACAGCAAGACAGCGGTAATGTAGTCACAGAGCTGAGGAGAAACCAAGGGTCAGTTATTAGGGATTAATACAGTGAAGCCCTCTCAACTGGCTAATGAGGTCTGTGGCTTATAGTGTTAAAGTAGGTGGTATTTTAATTATTTAATTCCTGGTCACAGTCCCTGCACTGCATCCTTGATCTCTGTATTCTCTTTTTGATTGTTATGCCTCTCAAAATGCAGCTCAATTAATTTGGTGAAAATTGAAATAAAGTAAGATTTATGGTTTTAAAAACTAGCCAATTTGACACATAATAAGCAACTAGCTTGTCAGACTTAACAATAAAATGTTGTTAAGACATCAGCATGGAAGAAAAGACTGTGTATTAAGTTTCTGACAGCTGTATTCATGTTTGCAGCTTTCGGAAACCAAACAGCTTTATAAAAAGCATTACAATTTCTGTAGAACAAAGAAATATTACTTCAGTGCTTATCTGTGCCAGCAAAGAATAATTTTCAATGCTTTCTCTCAGTTCCTTAAAATCCATTTTCTTTCCTTTCAAGAAAACACTAGATTTTGAATAAACATTATGCTAGACAGAGCTACTAGAAGACCAGTAAAAATAACATTTTTTAGAGCTGAGCTAAATTTCTTAAAGTTATGAACTTATTGTACTCCCTACCCTGCAATTAATCACAGTGTGACTCTAATTCATCAAAAACCTTAGCTGCAAAATATTTGGTGGCTGAGTTACAATGGTGGTGATGGTGTGATTATGTCCCACTTTGATTTGATTTGCCCAGGACTGAGGAAACCTCTGGCTGAGGGAGATTAAACCCCAATATGTCAGAGCACTATGTTGAGGTCTAGCTTCTTTGGCATCTACTGCTGATCCTGTTCTCCTCTGAGTAAACTAGCTGTAAACTAGCTTCCTCAGTGTAAACTAGCCCCGTTAGGAGAAGGAGAAACCTGCTAATGAGGTTCAGAAGTTCCCCTCTCTGCTGATGGTGGTTTTGGTATCAATATATAAGGTGGAACAGCTCTAACAGAAAGGGTCACACAAAGGCACTTACTTCAAAATGCTCCCTAACCCATCACCTCTGGTACTTGCTTGGGCTGGAGTAGGCCCGGGACAGAGCAGATTTTCTGCCAGGCTCTCGGTGGTTCCAGTTTAATTGCCCATACAGTTAGTTTTGTGTACAAGCTGGAATGGTCTGTTCCCACCATGGCTGATGCTCTGGTAAATAATGACCTGGGAAGTGGCAATGAGGGGTTTGTTCTTTCTGTCACAAGGGGGAAATGAAGCTAAAACTGTCACAATTTGGGCAATTTCCACAAGCACGGAGCATCCCTACTGATATTTGCCATTCATTGCTAAGGTATAGAAGAATCTCAGCTTTGATTTTGTTTATTTTTCTTATGAATACCCTCAAATGGAATATATCCGTTTGTGTTGAATGGAAGTTCTCACATCAAATGTACAATATTTTTACATGCCTGTGAAATCCTTTGATTTGTGTTTGATGGATTTGAAGGAACCTGTCTCATCCTTTTTGAAGAGGACGAGACTGGCACATTTAATTCCATTTGATCTGGGCCCATGGTTTCAAGTTATTATGGTTCAGATATTGAACACTGAAAAATCACTCCACTGTAGGACTACATCAGTTCCCTTCTATCCATTTAGCAGAATGGAAGTGTCAGAACCTGACAGGTCCATTAGTGATTTGGAGACACTTGTGTGTTTAGCCAGTATTTTCCGTAGAGGGGTGCAGTGTTGCGCTGACACTGGCATTTACACATGGATCGTGGAACCCTGCATCTCAGCTGAAGAGAATAATCTACCAACACCTGCCTGAATTGGGTATTTTGTGGGTAATCTTCATGTAACCAATTTACATGTAAGTAATTTTGCAGTACTAGTATTTTCAACTCTATAGACAAATGGTGTGTGAAAGACAGGACTTTGTAATTTAGCAGAGATCACTAGGAGGTAAGGTGTGCTGTGTGTGCATTGCATGCACAGTGTGATTTTGTGTAGAGGATCCCATTTTCCAATTAATTATTTACAGACTGAACAAAAAGTTGGCATCATTATTTTGATTAGACTGCATAGATATTTGTTCTACTGCAATTAAAAGAACAAATCAACTACAATATGTCTGCCTGGGTTGATTCTTATTATTTCTGCTCAAATGCTTTCTGGAGGAACCATAAATATCAGTGTTCCTTTCCTTCTCCTCCTTTATCCTTACACAGTCTCTTCCTAACACTATTGCTCTGCACATTGTACATTGTAGTGGAGCACAGTGAATCTCAGCTTTTGGTGATAAAAAAGGTTTCTGTGCTTTTTAAATCTGGGCAGAGTAGGCATTTAGGCTATTGCAGTTTTCTGGGGTGCTTACAGGAATAGTTTTTTAATGAACAGTTTTATGACCTAAGTGTATGGATGTTGTGCTAAACTTTGGCTCCTTCTTTTAACAGGCTGTGAAAGAAGAGACCCCTTTTGTAAATCCCAGTAAGACCTCCAGCCTGCAGGACCCTAATGTAAGGTCTGTTACTTCTTGTCCGTAGGGAAATTATCAAATAAATGCATGAAATAGTGAGACATTTTCCAAACATTATCTCAGACATAAGTTACAGGTCAGTTTGCTCATCTCAAAGTCACTGTGTAAAGTTCACCAAGCAATGGCCTGAGGAGAATCTGTCTGCCAAAAGGGTGCTTATTTTATATACATATACCAGATGTAGTTGAAGAATAAACAAAAAAAATCTGACTTCAAAAATCAGATTGAGTATATATACTTACACAACTGATAAAACCTTAAGGTAAAAAGTTAGTTCTAGTGACAAACTTAGAAAACTTTATATAAAAACAAGTCAGTTTGCATAACTTTTGTATCAGAAATGTGTTAGGCGTCCAACCTAGAGAATGTTTGTGTCTGCGTTTTCCTGGTTTATGCAAGTTTTTTGTTTGTTTGTTCGTTGTTGTTGTTGTTGTTTTAGAAGAAAAGGCATTTGGTGTACAGCCTTCAGAAAAATGGCTCTTTTGCAGGCAGTGGTGACTACTCTGGATTGTAATTCTGTTGATAGTGGATAGTAGTCTTCCTTTTTGGTGGTGACCATTTTGAAGAGGCATATTAATTGTAAACCTTCTTTGAATGGCGTAGTGTGCTCTCTGCCAGCAGGTGATTAGAGAGGAGGATACAGCATGGGTATTTGGAATTTGCCTGGATATGTACAGTAGTGCCACTGCTTTGGATACCTTTAGCGCCCAAGTCTGAGAAGAGAGTTTCATGAAAAAAGAAAAATCATGGATTTAAAGCATGGCAACCATACTGGCTGTTTGTCAGCTAAATATGGTAGTGTATATGCAATATATATATTTATGTGTATGTAATATGTGTATTAGAGCACTGGTCATCTTATGATTTTATTTTACAACTCTCTGGTAGTGACTCTTGCAACTGAAAGCAGACATTTCAGCATCTTACAGAAATGTCTGGATGAGGGGGGTAATGAATTGTGTAACAAATTAAATAATTTTGAACTCAAAGAGTTATAGTTGGGAAAATTTGTCAACTCTTATTTCAATTGTGTATCTTTCCTGTAAGGTGATAAGTCAGCAGTAGTCTTCAAAAAACATTTAATTCAAAAATTCCTTTCTGAATTGGACTAGCAGAGCTGCTGTATTTGCTTAATGAAAGCAGCTACCTGGAGAAGACCAATGAGGATGATGGTGGGTGCTGAGGCAGGAGAAGAAGTGAGAGGCGACGCTATTGCTGTGTGTGGCAGTCCCTGGTTTGCCTGCAGTAGAGCTGTGATCCCCAGTTCCTCACGTCTCTGACCTCAGAACACCCTGCAGAGTCATAACTTCTAGGCTGGCAGGCTGTGATTTTCCCATTTGTTTGACCAAGGGGCTGCAAAGTCTACTTGATATTTAGAATCACCCACTTGTCTCTCGCTCCAGAAAGCGCCATTGCCCTTTTAGACTTCTACAAAATTTTCTTAGGACCACTGAGAAAATTCATCACTTATGTTACCAGTGACCTATTTCTTTGTTTAATAGAAATGGGTTTTGTGTGTTGTCTTTGCCACAACACCCTTTGATGGGTTGCATTTGCTTCCAGAACAGTTTAGGAAGACCTGGTTTGTCCTTTTTTAGGAAGCCCTGTGTGATTTGCTGTGTGGCTAAAGACTTATTTTCCTTACTTTTGCTGAACTCCTACATAGCGTCTGCAGAAAAGCTTTTCTTTTTTACATTTTAGAATAGATTCTCTACAGCTTCATCATGCTGAGCTGAGAGTTGTGTGCTTTGTGAGATGAAG